AATCGAACTGGCGACCTCTTGGTGCATGGGTCGACGCTCAACCACTGAGCCACATGGGTCGGATTTACCCATTTAAATACATTCATTTTGGTTGCCTCACTCCATACCCTTTCTGAAAGGCATATCTGATTATATCACTTTCTTCAAGCTCCTTAGCATGGCATGTTCCATAGCATTAATGTTCACAGTGAAATAGGAGATACTGTTATCTGTACATTAAGAGAAAGTAAGGGTAACTATTAAATCAGTTTGGTATTGGAAAAGGGGCAAAGAGCCCGGCTGGTGTGGCTCACTGGTTGAGCATCGCCCCTTGTACCAAGAGGTCGCTGGCTCGATTCCCGGTCAGGGCCCAGGCCCAGGTTGTAGCCCCGATCCCCAGCGGGGAGCATGCAGGCGGCAGCCAATTGATGTTCTCTCTCATTGATGTTTCTATCTCTCTCTCCCTCTCCCTTTCTCTCTCTCTCAGATCAATACAGAAAAAAAATTAAAAAAGATAAAGGAAAAGGAGGAAAGAAAAATCAATGACATAAAAGAGACTTCAAAAATAGGGCTTAAATACTTGAGGAAATTAAGTAGGTCACAAAATGCACACGTCAGATCAGTGGCAAAGTGTTGGACAAGTCAGTGAAAGGTGATGGGATTAACAGGCTAGTCACTTACAAAGTGAATCAGGTTAAATCTCTACCTCAGTCTTAACAACTACAAAAACCCCATGTACATCGACGTTTAAATGTAAAATATGAAATCAAAGACTTATAGCACTCCACGAGAGTTTATGTATACGACTAGGGTGGGGAAGCAGCCATCAGACAGTCTGATTAAAACCAGTCCCCATCACCTTCACAAGACACCATCCCCTCTGACCTAATGGCTGCAACAGCCTTCTCGTTGGTTTTCTCTTTCTACCTTTGCCCTGCCTCACAGAGTCCAGTCTCAACACTGCAACCGGAGTAATCTTCCACTGTTCCGCTCAGCTCTACAATGAATCCCCGTTTCATTCAGAGAAAAGGCCGAAGTTTTACAATGGCCTCTAACGCCCTATGGGGTCAGTTCCTCGTTATCTCTCCGACTTCACCTCCTACTACTCTGCCCTTCACTCCCTGAGCCCTAGCCACACTGGCCTCCTTGCTGGTCCTTAAAGATGCCCTGCACCTTCCCACCTTTTCACAGGCTGCATTGTGCGTGGCCTGCTCTGGCCGCGGATATCCTACATGGCTTTCTCATCGCCTTAAAAATCTTTGTGGCCGCTTCACCTGATTCTCAAGGAGGCCTATATATACCAAGCAGCCAAAAGGCACCTGGCATTATGTCGAAGGAACTTGCTAAGTATTTGCGGAACTATTTGTGAATACAAGGACAGTGTGAGTCCAGTCAAACAATGTCTGAAACAACAATAAGAATCCCTTCCAGGCTGTTTTTGAAAGAGGGGAATAGAATGCATTTAGAAATCTAAGTCCCAGAGAACAAGAACACATGACACAATCTCATATAAGTCAAGAGGGATGTAACTGAGTTAATGTGAGATAAAATTCCAGTAGTATGGAGAGAGTAAAGATATTGATTAGTTTTAAACTGTGAGAAGTTAAAACTGAATGTTCAAGTTTTTTTGAGAGCTGGACATATGGGAGTACACACTGTGTGGACCCATTTATATAAAGTTAAAAAATAAGGAAAACTCACCTATGGTAACAGAGGCCAGGGTAGTGGTCAACTCTGGGAATGGAAGGTCAATGACCAGAAAGGAGCGTGAGGGGGCTTCTGGGTGCTGTGTGCTAGTTACAGGGCTGTGGTCGCTCTGTATAAATTCACTGAGCTATATACTTACAAGTTGCACTTTTTGGGGGTACATATTTTATACTTCAATAGATAACCACTAAGGGGATAAAAATATAGTGAATAACTTCCAAACTGGGGATGGGGGAAGGTACAATAAGGAAAAAAAATAACTCAAACAATTCAAAGAAAGTAATAAAGGGAAAACAACACAGAAAAGGTGGACACATTGATTATTATAAGATAAGATGGTTGAAATTAACCGATCTATATCCAGAATTAGAATGAATAAATGTACCAGTTAAAAGACAAAAATGTTCAAACTAGATTTAAAAAAAATACAAATTGAAAAAAAAAAAGGATCTAAAAAGGTTGAAATTAAAACACTGCGGAAGATAAACCAGGTAATAATAACCAAAAGAATGCAGGCAAACTATATTGAATCAGACAAACAAGACTTTAGGGCAAAAAGCATTACTGGAGGTAATTACTGGAGCCGTAAGGATGCGAAAGCTTTAATTCTCAATCTGCACACCTAACACTGTGACCTCAAAAAGGGGGCAGGATGACAAAGAGAACTACCTAACAACTCTCTCAATGACTAATGGAATAAACTGGCAAAACATTAGGAAGGAGACAAAAATGTCAACAGCCCCACTGATAAGCTTAATTGAATGAACATGTATAAAACCTACAGTCTTTTCAAGAACACCTGGAGTATTTGTTCCAATTGGTTCAGGGTGGGGCAAAAGTAGGTTTATAGTTGTGTGTGTGTGAAACACAGTTTATTCTTTTTTTTATCCTCATCCGAGGACATTTTTCCATTTTTTACTCGGGCAGAGCGGGAAGGAGAGAGAGGAAGAGAGAGAAACATTGATGTGAAAGGGACACATCTAGTAGCCGCCACCCACACGACCAACCAGGGCCGGGGACAAACTGCAGCCAAGGTACATGCCCTTAGCAGGAACCGAACCCGGGTCTCTGTGGACCGCAGGCTGACACTCTAACCGCTGAGCCAAACCAGCCAGGGCAGTTTATTCTTGTATTATTATTTATTAATTATTATATTATTTTTTCATACTGACAACTGTACACTTACTTTCGCCCCATCCTGTATTTACCTAAAATTAGGTTCAACAAATTTAAGGGATTGATATCATACAGACGATATTCTCTAAATAGATGCAAATACGTTAGAAATCAACAAACAAGACAAATACTTATGTTTAATAATTGAAAAGCCCTGCCCTGGCCGGTTTTGCTCAGTGGTTAGAGCGTCAGCCTGCAGACCAGAGAGTCCTGGGTTCGGTTCCCGCTAAGGGCACGTCCCTCGGTTGCAGTTTGTCCCCGGCCCCATTGGGGTTGTGTGGGTGGCGATCACTTGATATGTCTCTCTCACATTGATTTTTTTTTCTCTCTCTTCCTCCCTCACTCCCTCCTGCTCTATCTGAGGATAAATGCAGAAATGTCCTCGAGTAAGGATTAAAAAAAAAATTTAAAGACCCACTTCTGGCCCTGGCCGGTTTTCTCAGTGGTTAGAGCTTTGGCCTGCAGACCAAAGTGTCGCAGGGCTCAATTCCCAGTCAAGGGCACGTACCTTGGTTTTGGGTTCATTCCCCAGTCTGGCTGCGTTTGTGTGGGAGGCAACCAATTGATGTGTTCCTGTCACACTGGTGTTTCTCTCTCTCTCTCCCCCCTCCCTCCCACTCTATCTTAAAAAAATCAATGGAAAAATATCTTCTGGTGAGGATTAAAAAAGAAAAAGAAAAACCCACTTCTGAACATTTTAAGGTTCAAAGAGAAATCAAAATAAGCATGTTTATCAGCAAACTATAATAAATATATTACATATTAAACCTTATGAGATGGAGCTATAGAAGTACCTGAAGGAAATGTGTAACCTTGAATATTTATACTGGAAAAGAAGAGAGGCTGGATTTTAAAAGCTAAGCTTCATATAAAGGAAGGAAATAATAAAGACAGGAACAGAGAGCTGCAAGAGAACAGACATATGACAGAGAGCTTGGAGTCACCATTACAAATTCTGCAGTGACCATGCACCAAGAGGTCGCAGGTTCGATTCCCGATCAGGGCACATGCCCAGGTTGTGGGTCGGATCCCCACTGGGGGGCATGCAGGAGGCGGCCAATCGATGTTCTCTCTCATTGCTGTTTCTATCTCTCTCTCCCTCTCCCTTCCTCTTTCTCTAAAATCAGTAAAGAAAAAAAAAGTTAGCCCTGGCCGGTTTGGCTCAGCGGTTAGAGCGTTGGCCTGTGGTCTGAGAGACCCAGGTTTGGTTCCCGCTAAGGGCATGTACCTCGGTTGCAGTTTGTCCCCGGCCCTGGTTGGGTTGTGCGGGTGGCGGCCACTCGATGTGTCCCTTTCACATCGATGTTTCTCTCTCTCTCTCTCCCTCCCACTCTATCTGAACAAAATATCAAAAAAAAAAAAAAAATTAAAAAGAATAAAAATAACATGAGTAACCTTTTAACCATACAGTTGAAAGTTTAGACGAAATAAACAAATTCTTAGATAAGTATAGATCATCTTTTTTTCAATACGTTCAACACATTTCATAATATAGATTTTAACAGGCTTACATTGAGACAGCATACTTAAACAAACAAACAAACAAAAAATAGTCCATACCATTTATAGGCAGAAAACCTGTGTTTTTTTAACTTCAAATCTCAGGTGACTGAGCAGAAAAACTGTGGGTTTTTTTTTCAACCCACAGCAGAGACAGGAAACCCCACCTGGGTGCTCTAGATGCTTCAAAAGGTCACCACGGTAGCAGGACTAAGCAGTTCAGGTGGCAGGCCAGGAGGAGCGGCAGGGACTGGCCAGACACCGCTGACAGCTCATGTTTGCACCTTGTTTCCACTGCCCACAGAGGTTCTCTCCTGCACATGTCGCTGTTTGTATGGACACGCGTTGCCTACCTTGAGCATGAATAATAGTAATGGCTCCACTTACTGGACAGCATGAGCCTTACCTAGGTGCCTTTTCATCCTTACAACACAACCGGGTGCTGTTGGTCCTGTTTTACAAATGAATAGACTAATGGAATAACTTGTTCGCAGGCTGACTCTTCACCAGACTGGCGCCGAGACTCAAGGCCCGGTCTATCCCAGGCCTCCCTTCGTCCAGGTCGGCTGCAGAGCACAGGGAGTCCAAAGCAGGCTCTGTCCAAGACCAGCCCACTGCAGCCCGTACAATGCACCCACCTTCCGAATAACATCTCGCACAGCAAAGTACTTCTCGGTGAGGTCCCCTGCCTCACTCAGTGGGGCGTCGTAGTCGTAGCTGGTGGGCTGGGCTTGGTAGGGCAGGTTGGCCCCTAGAAGACAAGAACGTGCCACTAGTTACTACCGAAGGCCCTTGCCCGGGACAAGTCCTTTAGGACGCATGGGCTCAGCCTTATGGACGGGGAACATAAAAGACACGTTTGAACCACTGTTAGCGACACAGAGGTGGCCTTCTGGATGCAGAGTTTAGAGAAATTAGTTTCTTCCAACAGGAGGACCTTCCCAAGCACCTCGGAGTCCACAGGGCACTTTCCCACCCACGCTCAGCAGAACTCACAGCTGTGGCCCCAGCAGATCTCAGTGACAAGCAGAGGATCTGAAACTCTCTACAAAACTTGCTCAGCACAACCAGCCATGGCAGGGCGTATGGCATGACCCGCGTCTCTGACTGTTTACCCTGCGATTCTCTCATGACCAGGAACTGTGTGGATGAGAAAAGGTCAGTGGCGGAGACATAGGTGACTTGGCCAAGGACCAGGCCAAACAACGTGGGAGATGACTGCACACAGATGAACCCCACAGAGATTCGAAGGTAACCTTAGGGCCTTTGCAAGACTACAGAGCATGCTGTGTGAGCCTCTCCCATCCCCCTCAGAACTAAGGCACTCACTTGTCTCCCCAGCTGCTGACAGCTCCCAGATGTGTCCCTCTCTGGCCCCTGCCTCTGCTGGGCTGCCCTGCTTACATTACAACCCTCCCTGGAGAGCCCATAGCCAACAACGCACCAAGGTAGGGATGTAAAAACTCAGTCCTTTTGCATCAAAGGGCCACCCTAGCTCCATCCAGAGCTCCCTCTAGAATCAGCTGAGCCACCTGTGAAAGCGCCTCACAGCCTGGGTCGCCCTCTGCTCAGTCCGGCCCCCCACACCCTCCCCTAGGTGTCTGCATGCTCCTGAGAGCGACCCAGTAACCTTTCTGCTGGGCAGTCTCCGAGTCTGTCCCCAGGGAACATAACCTGCAACAGACAGCCACAAATGACGCCAACACGGTGTGTGCACAAGACTGGAGAAGCAAAGGGTCTTGCAGTTATTGCCAAGGGGACAGAGTCCAGAACGGAGGCCCCCAACCTGGGCACACGTGATATTCACAGGTAGGGGACTGCGTGCAAACTGGGCCGTGACCATATGCCAGGACTTAGAAAATCCACACAAGCCCAGAGTCCCATGGAGAGCTTGTTTTTTTTGTTTGTTTGTTTGTTTTTTGTGGTATGTGCCCCTAGCAGGAACCGAACCCAGGACTCTCTGGTCCACAGGCCAATGCTCAAACGCTGAGCCAAACTGGCCAGGGCCCATGGAGAGCTTGTTAAAACAGGGTCCTAAACCCTGCCCCAGATTCTGAATCAGCAGGTCTGGGGTGGGACCCAAGACTCAGCATTTCTAACAGGCTCCCAGGTGACAGTGATGTTATGCCTCCCCTTTCTCGTCTGCTCCAGAGAGCATTTTGCAATGTAAGTGTGTGAAAATAAACTTATTTTAGAATAATCTTATATCCACCTAAGTGTTAAGTGAATGAGGCCCCAAATCTGAGCATTCACGTATGATTTAGAAACAAAGTTGTTATTATTATTTTTTTAATCCTCACCTGAGGGACACTTCGAGTGGTTGCCATCAGCACAAGCAAACCAGGGCCGGGACAAACTGCAACCAAGGCACGCGCCCCCAGCGGGAACCGAACCCGGGTCTCTCAGGACCGCAGGCCGACCCTCTAACCGCTAAGCCAAACTGGCCAGGGCATGATGTAATAACAAAGTTCTTCAAATGGTCCCACAGCTCACACATGGTGGGTCCACCCTAAGTGATCCTACTGGCGGGGGAGTTGACACGAGCCAGGCCAAGGGTCAGGTCATCCCCATACTCTTTTTCACTAGTTCTCTGCACAGAATCTACATTTGGAAATACCTAAGCCAACTGAATCGATCCCGTCTTATTACTTTCCCCTCATTTCTTATTAACCAGAGACAGCTGCCTGCCAACAGGTCCACCACCTCTGGGGACACAAATGATAAAACACATCCTTTGACGTGAGAAGCAATGAAAATAAAACCACATCCCTTTTTGCAAGGAGCTCACCTTCTCTTTTGTGGTCCCTTTTCTAGTTCTAGCGCAGCAGGGACTGTGCTGCCCGTGTTCCTTATAGCTCTGCTGCACACCAGACAATGTGTGCACCTGAGAGGGAGGCGTGGCCCCATGCCCCCCCCCCCTCCCAGACCGAACAGGAGTCTATCAGTTGCCAAGCTGAGTTGAACAAGTGTGCCTTCCGGAAGCAAACTTTACAGGCCAAGGGAACCCAGGCTGGGAAGCGGGCCACTGGCTCGACGGACGAGCTGGCAAATGAAGTCTCTGCTCTGTTTCCACCCACAGAATCTCTCTCTGGATGTTGTCACACCACTGTGTGTCACAGAGAAACTGCCAACTCAAGTCTCTCCTCCACAGCGGGGAGTGTGAGGCAGGAAGGCAAAGAAACAGCAAGACTTACCAGTCCTCACCTCTCATGTGGTGTGAGACGTAGACTTACCAGTCCTCACCTCTCATGTGGTGTGAGACGTACAGGACAGCCTGGCCCCACCGGAGCCCTCCCACAGATGGTGCACACACGGGCACCGAGGGTGGTACGCACACGGGCACCGGGGGTGGTACGTACACAGGCACCGGGGGTGGTACACACGGGCACCGAGGGTGGTACACACACTTAGCGAGCATGTGCACCTACCTTGGGTAGGGTGGGCAATGAGCTCATGATGCGATCTCTCACAGGCCTCCTCTGGAAAGCTGACCTGAAGAACAGCCGCCGAGAGGCAGACAGGCTGTCCCTCACGTCCCCAAAGAGACCAGGCCACATGGCAGGTCAGAGAAGCCTGGCCTTCACACGTAGGGCTGGTTTGGGGCTGGCACAGGGGTTATCCCAAGGGCAGTGACCAGCTTTCGAAGACCTGAGTTTGAGTTCGGCCTCCAGCCCCTGCAGGCTGAGTGGGAGACAAGTGGGCTGGTTTGGTCTCCTGCTTTTCTCATCTGTAAAGTGGGCTGGTAACCGCAGCCCCGCTGAGCCCGCTGTGAGGACCAACTGGGAAAACAGGTGGCAAAGAGGCTCTGATTAATGATGGCAGGGTGAGGAGCAAGGGAGAAAATTAAAGACAAGTTCTATTTTTCTCAGTGGTCTTTTTCTTATCATCTAACCTTAAAAAACTGTATTGTTTTAAGTAGAATTGTAAGATATTTAAAAATTATATCATGAACAGTCAAGTTCCCAAATATATCAGTCTTCATTCCTGACTGGATGATTGGTCTGAATTCCATGCATGGAAGCCCGGTGGAATTCCCAGCTACTGAATGGAAAAGGCACCCCAAAGTCTTAACTGTATCTAACGAGAAGATGATGTAACACTCCAATGGCCAATCTTGCACATTATTTTCTCTCAACCAGCGACATTCGAATTTTGTCTCCATTTCTTGGCTCTAACAACAATAATAACACTAATAATACTTGGAAGCCAAGCCTTCTCCTGGTCCAACCCACCTTGCACAAAAGACAACTGTTGTGAGGAGAGAATTCATTAAGAGCAGACAGTATACAATCTGAGGAGATCTAGGTCCAAGCTAACCCTTCAAAACTCAACAACAGGGCATCCTTAATGATTCAAAGAGAAAAATACAGATGTAAAGAGAGGTGGAGAATGAGGCTTACAGAGAGGCCAATACAGCATGGTATGTCTCTGCAAAAGTTAATGGCAATGAAGAGAATTTTGTCATAATTTTTCCTACCAAAAATAATAACCATAAAGACCATGTAGAAATGTAAAATGGTTCAGCCACTTTGGAAAACACTATGGCAGTTCCCACAAGATAGTTATAAGGTGACTCAGGAATTCCACTCCTAGGTAAACACCCCCAAAATTGAAATGAATTCCAAAAAACACTTAGATGTTAATATTCATAAGTTGTTCAGAATAACTAAAAAGTGGAAACAACACAAATATCCATCAGTTGATGAGTGAATAAACAATATGTTGAACATCCATACAATGGAGTATTACTCAGCAATGAAAAAGAATGAAGTACTGATATATGCTATCATATGAATGAACCTTGAAAAGATTATGGTAAATGAAAGAAGTCAAACACAAAAAACCACAAGCTGTATGGTTTTACTTATATGGAATGTCCAGAATAGACAAACCCATAGAGAGGGAGTAAACTAGTGGTTGCCAGGGGCTGGGAGGAGGGAGAGTAGGGAATTTCCTGGGTATGGGGTTTCTTTGTCAACTGATGAAAGTGTTCTGGAATCAGATGGTGGTAATGGTTGTGCAACTTCGTGATATACTAAATACCACTGAACTGTATACTTTAAAATCATGTAATTTGCCCTGGCCAGTTTGGCTTAGGGGTTAGAGCATCGGCCTGCGGTCCAGAGAGACCTGGGTTCGGTTCCCGCTGAAGGCACGTGCCTCGGTTGCAGTTTGTCTCCGGCCCTGGTTGATTGTGTGGGTGGCGGCCACTCGATGAGTCCCTTTCACGTCAATGTTTCTCTCTCTCTCTCTTCCTCTCTCTCCCTCCCACTCTGAACAAAAAATGAGAAAATGTCCTTGGGTGAGGATAAAAAAATAAATAAAATAAAATCATGCAATTTATGGCAGGTGAATTATATCTCCACAAAACATAATGTTAAAAATAAACAAAAGACCACAGCAGAACATATATGCACAAGTGAGCTATAGCCAGAGATTGTGACTGAGGCCTGCCCAGCCAGGCTGGTTTAAAACAGTAAGATTCCTAAATGCACGTTTTATGACCCTTACACTTTTTTAAAAAAGAAAAATGATTTTGTCCAGCCAGTATGGCTCAGTGGATGAGTATCAACCCATATACCAAGAGGTCGCCGGTTCAATTCCTGGTTAGGACACATGCCCAGGTTGTGGGCCCAATCCCCAGTGTGGGGCAGGCAGATGGTGGCCAATCGATGTTCTCTCTCATCGATGTTTCTATCTCTCTCTCCCTCTCACCTTCTCTATCTCTAAAATCAATAAAGAAAAAAAAAGTATTAAAAATTAATAAAACATGATTTTTAAAGTTATATGAGCAGTTTTTTCTTTTAATCCTCACCCGAGGATACTTTTCCATTGATTTTGTTGTTGTTGTTGTTGTTAGAGAGAGTGAAAGGGAAGGGGGAAGAGAAAGAGAGAAAAAAACCAACCTCAATGTGAGAGAGACACATCAATTAGTTGCCTCCTGAACGACCCCAACCAGGGCCGGGGGTCAAACCTGCAAACCAGGTATGTGTCCTTGACCAAAATCAAACCCGAGACCCTTCGGCCCGCAAACCGACGCTCTAACTGCTGGGCCAAACTGGCCAGGCTAGGTAATTCTTATATATTAGAAAATATAGAAAACAAACACAAATAGGAAAAAAAAAATTGCCTGTAGGCACCTGCCACCAAATCAAGTACCAGAAAAAATTTTTTTTCTTGCCCTGGCCGGTTTGGCTCAGCGGTTAGAGCATCGGCCTGCGGTCCTGAGGGACCCGGGTTCGGTTCCCACGAGGGGCGCGTACCTCAGTTGCAGTTTGTCCCCGGCCCTGGTCGGTTGTGCGGGTGGCAGCCACTCAATGTGTCCCTTTCACGTCGATGTTTCTCTCTCTCTCTCTGTTCCTCTCTCTCCCTCCCACTCTACTTGAACACAAAAAATGGAAAAATGTCCTCGAATGAGGATAAAAAAAGAAAAAAAAAATTATTTTTCTTTATTCATTTTAGATAGAGAGGAAGAGAGAGGGAGAGAGATACAGAAACATCCATGAGAGAGAACATCAACTGGCTGCCTCCTGCAGGCCCCCCACTGGGGATCGGGTCCACAACCTGGGCATGTGCCCTGACCGGAATTGACCTGGTGACTTCTCGATGCTCAACCACTGAGCCACATTAGCCAGGCCAGGTAATTCTTATATATTAGAAAATATAGAAGACAAAGACAAATAGGAAAAAAAAATTGCCTGTAGGCAACACCCCCCCCACCAAATCAAGCACCAGAAACATTTTAGCCTAAGCTTCTACAAACAGATGTTAAATTGCTCTTACCATTCCAATAGGCAAAATTGGTCCCGCCTATAAACATGTACCTATAAGGAAACAGGAGAACAGACTGTACTTTGTGATTCGACAGCCGCTGGGGGGTGCCCTCCCCTCCAGGAAGGAGTACTTACAAGTTCACATTCGCGCCTCGGGCAAGTATATCCTGGAGGGAGGACACTACTGCTTTGGTCTTGACAGTGGAGTGAGGTTGGCCCCAGTGGTCTAACCAGCCAGTATAGAATTCAGAGTTGATCTAAAAAGAGAAAGGGATGTGGAGTTTTAGAGTCATGACCTTTAATTGCTGGGGCTGTCACCCCATACCTATGGCCCCAGGTTCCCCACTGAAGGGCAGGTAGAAAGGGGAGATGATATGCGTTGCTTAACCCAGAGCTGGGGGGCAGGGGGACAATGAGAACTTCCAGTAACAGCATCGCCCAAGCTCAGTACTCAGGGGCTGGTAACACGGTATTCCTGAAAAGTCATGCCTGCATCAAAATGTTGTTAACCAATCCCCAGTTTAAATACGGTAGAAACGTTTGTTACAATCCGATGGCAAAACATTGCTATAATATAATCAACTCCAATTGACCCATTAGTTTCAGAAATCAGGTTGACTTAAGTGAATCAGCTTATCCAAACATTCTGCAAAGCAGGCCCAGCCCTCATGCTTCTCCTGTGTATTACCCTTGGTCTAGAGAAGGAAAAAGAAATCGGGACATGTTCTGGGGCCTCCCCATCTCAGGAAATCGCTCCACACGGAGTCTGTGAGTGTGGGCTCTGCACTGCCCACGAGGCGGAGGCCCGAAAAAGAAATGGCTGCTTGTACAGAGGTCTGTACACAGGTGGGGCAGCCTGACCTGCGGCAGAGAAGGCACAGGACATAAGCCCTTAAACCGGGCCAAGTCACAACAAATAGTGTGCAGAAGGAAAGAGCAGAGCGCCGGGTTGATGGACTATATATACCTGCCCGGACCCGGCCACCATCTCCTCCTCCTTCTAGCTGCCACTCCAAGTGTGCTCTGCAAACCTGCATCCCAATGGCACCTGGCTGCCTGTCAGAAATGCAGAATCTCAGGCCCCACCCCGGGCCCAGTAGATCAAAGTCTGCATTTTAACAAGATTCCTACATGATTCCTATGCACATTAAAGATAGAAACACAGACCTGAACTCAGCTTCTGGCCCTGCCACTCTCCAGCTATACAACCCTGGGCAAGTGACACGTTCCCTGAGCCTCAATGAAATGGAGACAATACTCCTACCTATGAGGTGCCCTGAGGACCAGAGGAGATGAGGCAGGCAGGAGCAGGGAGCCTGGGGCATGGCAGGGCGTTCGCATCAGTCCCCATTCTGGTCCCCTCCAGGGCAGGGCTTCATTTGCAAGCAGGAGCATTGCTGCTGCTGTCACTCAATTGTCCAGAGGGCTATGTCCCCACAATCCCAGAGCCAGAAAAGCCACGATCTCCTCCCACCCATTTACAGCCTGTATTCTCCCTCCCAACAACTGTAATGAAGGTGGTTCAAATAGTCTCCCCACAGTCCCTCCCAATTCTTACCAAGGGTCCTTTGGGCTCATACTTCCTCTGGATTAGGAAGGCATTTGTGATGTTGGCACCTGAACATGATCAGAGGGAGAAGAAAGGTCAGTCATGGGAATGACAGGAAGTTAAACAAAAGTAGCCCTTTGTGGGACTTGAACCTGAGACCCCAGCACTTCCCCACAATCGCACGGGCCTGCAACGCCTCCAAGCTAGCGTTAGGCCAATGGGTGTGTGGGGACCACAAAACACTGCTTCTTCTCTGAACAAGTCCCCGAGGCCTTTCCTGGCTGCACTGCCCGGAACTTCACTTCACAGGCTTGTCTTGTTCACCTGTGTCTCTCCACAGCCTGGACACATGGTTCTTTCTTCACATGGACATCTGGTTGCCTCGGACGCTCCGCACAGGACGGGCCTGCTCTGAAGATACTTGTCGCCTCCATTGTGCCACATACAATAATCGGGCCACACAAAATGACAGTGCCACAAATACTTGCCAATTAATTAACAGATCGAAGGGATGAACTGGAACAACTGTATCTATCCCTAAATACTGGAGTCTCCTCTGAATTTTAATTTGTACATCATCAGCTACTTGCTCCCCATTTCCTTCTAAAGCATGCCTTGGGGTACCTGTGCCTTCTCTTCCCATGTCTTCTCTTCTCCCTTCCTCCTCTGAAAAGAGAAACAATTTCTCCACGGAGAGGTCATGGCTGTCTTACATGAGTGAAAGAATAAGCATCAATAGTGTCTCCTCAACCAGAGCAGAGGACACCCTGGTCCCAGATTCATGATCCAGGTCCCACAGCAGGTATCCCAGAGTGGAAGTGATACCAGCCAAGCCCTCCCAGGTGCCCCTTGCTCCCACATGGGCCTTGGCTTCTCTGGAAGGCCAGGTTTCGTGAGAGAATGTGCTGATCAAGAAGGAGTATACATTCATTTACCTTATGGCTGTAAATTTCTCACTATTTTTTCTATTTGTTTCTTTATCCTCACCCAAGGACATTTTTCCATTTTTTGTTCAGATAGAGTGGGAGGGAGAGAGAGGAAGAGAGAGAGAGAGAGAGAGAAACACCGACGTGAAAGGGACACATCGAGTGGCTGCCTTCCGCACGACCCAACCAGGGCCGGGGACAAACTGCAACCGAGGTACGTGCCCTTAGCGGGAACCGAACCCGGGTCTCTCTGGACCGCAGGCCGACGCTCTAACCGCTGAGCCAAAATGACCAGGGCTCAATTTCTCACTATTAAGTATTACGTGGCATTCAGATCTTTGGTTTCTCTTCTCATGAGCCTCCTCCCATGATCTGCCCCTCAGCCGATGCCTCACTCCCTCACGAATGAATGAGGCTCCGTGAGCCCACCTGCCCCAGGTGCACCGGCCTTGCAGTGGTCTGTCCTTCCACCCACAGGAAGCAGTCGTGCTGTCACCCCACCTACAAATAACACTTACAACACACTCCACTTGCTCCTCCCAACAGCAAACGCGGTGCCTTTTCCCCACCGTGATGGCGACGTGCCAAGCAGGAGGAAGCCGGCATGCCACTTCCTGTGCGGCTCTTTGTAGGTGCGCTATCTCACCACCAGACGCTCCGAGCGCGTGCCCGACTTCTAGAAACACGCAACTCGCTCAAAGCCCATTCTTTTCCTTTTTGGTAATGTAGACAGATCTCTTTTAAAAGGCAATGACAGCCCTGGCCAGTTTGCTCAGTGGTTAGAGCGTTGGCCCGCAGACCAGAGTCCCAGGTTCGGTTCCTGCTAAGGGCACGTACCTTTGTTGCAGTTTGTCGCCGGCCCTGTTTGGGGTGGCAACCAGTTGATGTGCCTGTCTATGTGTCTCTCTCGCATGGATGTTTCTCTCTCTCTTTTTCTCCCTCTCTCCCTCCCGCTCTATCTGAAGATAAATGCAAATGCAAAAAAAAAAAAAAAAATGTCCTCAGGTGAGGATAAAAAAAAAAAAAATGCAATTACAGCCCAGCCAGTGTGGCTCAGTGGCTGGACGTTGACCCATGCACCAAGAGGTCGCTGGTTCAATTCCCAGTCAGGGCACATGCCCAGGTTGTGGGCCAAATTCCCAGTGGGGGGCATGCAGAGGCAGCCAGTCAATATTCTCTCTCGATGTTTCTGTCTCTCTCCCTCTTCCTTCCTCTCTCTCTAAAATCAATAAAGGAAAAAAAGAAAAAGAAATAAAAGAATAAAATGCAATTACATCTTCTCAGGAGAAGGCAAGTGTTCTACGTGCAATATGCATGGAGTGTCTTATTCCTCAGATGGAAGGACAGCGGGGCTGACAGGCCAACACCACCGGCCAGCGGCTGACCTCAGAGCTCACGATGGCCGTGACAGAGCCCGAGCTTCCAGCCACGACTGGGAGGACACGGAGAACAGAGAAGAGCGGTATGTCCCAGCCAGAGCTGCCTCCCGGTGGAGCCTCTCATGGCTGGAACAGCCCTTCCCTAGCAGAACAGCGCTCCAGGTTCCCAGCCAGGTCTGCCAGCACTGAAAATGGAGCTTTGTCCTAACGACCAAATCAACTGAAAGAAAAGAATCTGAGCAACTTGATAAAGGAGAATGTGAGGAATCTCATTCAGTAGGTCCGTGCCACTTACCAGCCCAGAGCAATCGGCTGAGTAAAAAGCTCAAGCCAGCAAGGTTTTCTGTTGCTACAAACACCAACCTGGTCCAAAGTCCACAGTGGCATACAGCCCCTGCAGGGCCCCGCAGTGCATAAGTTTCTCGTTTTCGCCATCGGTGGTGAACAGAACCACGTCATTCCCCAGGTGGTAGTGGAAACGCTTCTGCAGGAAACGCAGGTAGTCATAGTCACAGGAAAAATAGCTGCCGTATTCATTTTCAACCTGCAAGTTAAAAAAGAGGAGGGTGAAAAAAATTCAGAGATCCCAATGTAGTCATTCTAATGCCAAAAGTATCCCCTACCCTCAGTCCTCAAAATTCATTTTCCAAAAAGCAACTCGGCATAAAAACTTACCTCCCCACCCAAAACTAAGAAAAAGAAAACAAAAACCACCATGCTCGTTTTCAGATTGTAGTGATGTCTCAGATTAGATAATATTCAACTCTGCTATTGGAGTGCATACGCAGCCGTAGACAGCTATGAATGAATGGGCGTGGCTGTGTTCCCATGGACCTTCATTTACATAAACAGGCAGCGGGCCAGCTGGCTCATGGGCCAGCGTCTGCAGGTCCTAGTACTAGAGTAACTGTCTCATCCCATAGCTCCTTAGTGAAGCAAACAAGCACTGTGGACTTTTAAAGTAGTTGATCTTCTTGCCTGGCCAGTGTGGCTCAGTGGTTGAGCATCGAACCATGCACCAAGAGGTCACCGGTTTGATTTCCGGTCAGGACACATGCCCAGGTTGTGGGCCCGATATCCAGTGGGGGGCATGCAGGAGGTGGCCAATCAATGTTCTCTCTCATCGATGTTTCTATCTCTCTCTCCCTCTCCTTTTCCCTCTCTACAATCAATAAAGAAAATAAAAAAGTAGCAGACCTTCCACAACAACAGACAGACCCAGGGCTGTCACCTCGGGATGAATACTCCATACACTGGATGAGGCAGTTGTGGGGAAGGTCCTACTCCTAAATATTTCCACGTGGGATATTGCGAATAGGTGTGTGTGGCTTTCCTTATGGTAGGTGTGGCCTTGGTACGAACTGAGATAAACGTCCATGTGTGCAAACCAGGTCAGATGGCACTGGTTGAGACAATCCCTCCAGAAGAGTATTTGCATTTACGGCTGAATCAGAAGGATGAGTAATCAGAAGGATGAGTAATGGTCCAGGCTGGGCTTCCTGCAGCCGTAAGACAATAACGTTAAGGCCCTAACGACCTTTGGGCAGGGATCTGAGCCTTCTGGCATGAATCATTTTTGCCCTCCTTGCAGATACAGCTCCGTGGTGGCCCCTTCAAACTCTCCAGGCACCCTGAGAAAACACCAGCATTGTGAACTGAGTCAACTCATCCCTACGCCCCTTGGTCTGCATTAAGACAGAGACAGAAATCGGCTTTTATAGAAACGTCCGCAGTGAAATACGGGCTAGCACGAGCAGATTCTCTCTTGTCTAGCAGCACAGGTCCTCTATTTAATTCCAGACCCACCTGGAGGTGTGCCATGTGGACCCACGCGGGCCGTGGCCTCCTGGCGGCCAAGCAGAGGTGTGGGAACGGAAGAGACTAGAGATACACCTGGCTGTCGATGAACCTCCTCAAATGCATCACAGACGGAGGTGCTAACGGGGTTCTAACTTCAGCAGGACGCCAATGAAGCCAGCCGGGAAGAAAGGCTTTGGACAGAGGGGCACCTATGGGAACTCTCAAAGGACAAGAGGGCAAGACTGAATCTAGTGTGTAAAGAATGTTGAATGACATGAAAAAATAATGCTTATGACATAAGAATAAAGTAAAAAAAAATTTTTTAAAAAGTCAGGTTGGAAATTGTCCACACAATATGAACTGACTGTAAAAAGAAATTTTTTAAAGGCATTGAAAAAAGTTAAGGGAAGCTCTCCAAAAATGTACAGAGCCCTGCCTCGGCTCCTGGTGCTGAAGTGACAGTTATGGTTGGTTGGTTTGTTTTTGCTTTATGATGTTTTTCTGTACTTCCTGACATTATGTACTTGTTCACGGAGTGATCGAGGGGCAACACGGATTGGGTGGGATTCAACTGGCTGGAGATGTGAGCGGGGAGGGGGAAGGACGCCGAGGCCCCTGGGTTAAAGTCATCTGAGGTCACCAGGGACGGACACAAGAAGAAACGCACCCAAGACCGCCCGCTTCGCTCTCCTCCGCGGAGTTCCCACTGGATTACATTTTTCTTGACTTTTCAAGAACCAAAGGTACAGGAAAGTTGTGAGCAGAAACTAAAAGCGATTTAGGGAGAGGCAGAGACTTTCCCTGAAAATGAGGGAAACTAAAGTAAACCTGATGTCGAGGAAAGGAAGACGACCCAACTGCGCAGATACACCGACCTTCAGACTAGAATCTTCATGTAGGAAAATGGGCTTCCAGAGCTGTAGCCAGTGCAGACTCAGGACGATGAAGGGCATGGAGTGCTACTGGCACATCCCTCGGGGGGCAGCAGCCTGGCCTCTGTCCACTGTGCACGTCAGAGTGGACACCTGGCCAGCTCAGCCCTCTCATCACCTCGTTCGGCCATGCTCCCTCCCCACAATGACCATCCCTACAGACTGTCCAAGTTCACAAGAAGGCTCTGGCCCACGGTCCCCAGACGACGCCACACTGCACTGGGTGCTGCTTCAGGATGCAGCTAGTTGGACACACCTGCGCTTCTTAATATGAGCACCTGTGGTTGATGACCAAGCAACACGATTTGATGTTTAAGTTCACAAACATCTAAAATCCTTGCAGGTCAAGTGTCCTGATTTTTCACATGGAAAATACTTGCCACCCGATATACCGCACAAAATACCAGTCTTTGCAGGGCAAATAAACCAGGGGAAGAAGGAGAGGGGGCAGGAAGTGGGAGAGAAAACACAATGACCTCCATTCAGCACGTCTTTCTTTACCAGTGCGAACTGACTGCCCAAGCAGGGCAGACCGAGAGGTTGGGTCCACGCCACGTCCTTGAGGCCAGCAGGCAACATGCGACAAGAGAAAGAGACAGACTACGGATTCAGCAGACCTCGGCGGCTCTGCTGATTCTACCACCTGTCAGCAGGGTGACCTTGGTCAAGTCACTAAATCTCGTTGAAATTCTTCATTTAAAAGAGACAGTGGTTGGAAAAATTGAATAGCAGTGGCAGGGCATCCAGGACAGAGTCTGGTACATAGCAGGCATTCAAAAATGGTAATACGCCCCCCAAATGCAATTTATTTATTTATTTTTTTAAATCCTCACTGAAGGATATTTTTCCATTGATTTTCAGATACAGTGGGAGGGAGGAGGGAGGAGAGAGAGACACAGCGATTGGTTGCCTCCCACACAACCCCAACAAGGGCTGGAGATTAAATTGCAACCGAGGTACATGCTCTTGACCGGAATCAAACCCGAGACTCTTTGGTCCGAGGGCCGATGCTCTAACCACTTAGCCAAACCAGCCAGGGCCCAAAATGCAATTTAAATCAAAGTGCCCGCTGTGGCATCACCTCTTAGAGAAACAGACTTATGAAGCGCAGGTCTGCATCACTCCTACATATACGATGAATAGATGGAAGCCCCCGCCCCCACCGGCCCATGCTCATCTCCATGGTTACCTGCACTGTTATAATCGGCCCTCCATTCTCGTAGAGGAGAGGCTTCATCTTGGGCAGAATGACTTCCAACCACTTGTCCACAGCTGCAAGGTAATCTGGAAAACAAGACAGGTTTATCACCATGCACCTTAGTACAAATAGACACAACACAGCCTTGTTACCCTGGGGCCACTAGCAGAGACCAGAATATACTGGGTTCAGCAACAACCTTCTGAAATGGGGGAGCTCATGCGCTGAGTCAGGTACAAGTTGTCGTGCACGGAGCCATCTCCTCAGCGGGGCTCTCGGTGGACAAGGCCAGCGCGCCCGGTCTGTCCCTGCCGCGAGGACACACAGCCTGGAGCACCGGCGGCACCCTGCCGGCGTGTGTTAAGTGGAGAAAGAGGGACTGACTGGTGTGTCCTCTCTGTCACCGTAGGGTATTTCTCACTTCACAATTAAGTTCCAATAAATGATATATTCAGAGTGTCCGATGGGGATAATAGAGTACGTACTTCATAAAGCTGCCTTATGGATAAAACGAGATAATACATGATAAAACACTAATAATATACTAAGAGTGCAAAAAATGAGGGGAATATACCAAGAAGGAAATGCGCATAGACAATAACGCACTAGGCTTTTACACAGTAAACGTAATCGATGTTAACTGCTCTTACGACCATTTTTGTCACCACCGCCACCCAGAGACACTGAAGTCTTCAGGAGATAGAAATGCAGCTAATAGGGGTTTGCAGCTGAAATAATTTCTAGTGGTTTAAAAAGACAGGGAAAAAGACCTACTATTTACATAGCACTCTGCAAAAGTAGATCAAGGAACAGAAAACACTGTGGCTACTGAGCAATCTAGTGACACCATTTCAGAAATGACACCTGCCATGTTGATTAGCCAGGCACTATGCCTGGCCCTGCTATGTTCCAAGCATGTAGAAGAAAGCATTTGAGTCTGTCGGTCTACCACAAACAGGGCCCATTGCCAATTCAGAGTCATCGGTTTGTCAGCAAGATCTGGTCAAGTTTAAGAAAGCTGATTTCCTCCCTGGCTGCTTTGGCTCAGTGGTTAGAGCGTCGGCCTGCGGTCCGGAGAGACCCGGGTTCAGTTCCCGCTAAGGGCATGTACCTCGGTTGCGGTTTGTCCTCAGCCCTGGTTGATCATGCGGGTGGCAGTCACTCGATGTGTCCCTTTCACGTCTATGTTTCTCTCTCTCTCTCTCTCTCCCCCTTTCTCTCCCTCCCACTCTATCTGAACCAAAAAATGGAAAAATGTCCTCAGGTGAGGATTAAAAAAAAAAAAAAGAAAGAAAGCCGATTTCCTACACATTCAATGTCTGGTGTTCTGCAGTAGACAATGATCAACACTTTCATAATCAAGTGTTTGCACAGAAATGCCTCCGCATCCTGGTCAGTTTGGTCTCAGTGGTTGGTGCGTCAACTCACAGACCGAAGGGCAGCAAATTTGATTTCTGGTCAAGGGCACGTACCTGGGTTGCAGGTTTGATCCCCAGCCCTGGTTGGGTCGTACAGGAGGCAACCAATTGATGTGTCTCTTTCACATCCATGTTTTTTTCCTCTCTCTCTCTCTCTCTCTCTCTCTCTCTCTCTCTCCCCCTCACTTCCACTCTATCTAAAAAAAAAATCAATGGAAAAATATAGTCGGGTGAGGAGTAATAAAAAAAAAACCCCAACCAAACATGAAAACTTGATTCTCTTGATAGAATCTGTCTAAGTTGTCATGAGTTCTCTCTAGACACCTGTAACAACCTACCTGGATCAGAAGAACGAAGAACGATATCTTCCTTCTCTAACAGCCAAGCCGGTAACCCTCCCTGCAACAGGGAAGAAGAAAGGGAGCCATTCGAAGGTCCATTCCACGAAAGGCGCTCAGGGGAGACAAATTACTGCTAGCGGTGCGGGAAGAAAGGTTCTATGGAGAAGGGGGATTTGAGTTGGGCTTTCTGATTTGGAAACTTGCAGGGAAGTCAGAAATTGAAACATGGTAAAAATACGATCGCTCTTCATAAATGCAATGTTTTGAGCATCAAAGCCTTTTCTATAGATTAATTCCACTTAATTTCACAGCTGTGAGGCAGGCAGAGCCCACACCATTTTGCAGGTGAGGAAACTGAGTCTGTGAGTGACCACCAAGAGGAGGACCCAGCCCTCTGACCTGTCCCTGTTCCTCGCTGCCTAGGCACCTCCTAAGGGAAAAGACACCTGTGAGGGCTACAGTCACAGGTGCCCTGTTATCTAGAATGAGAGACTTATTTACATGGTTTCAATTCCCTTTCCCCAGATCCCCGCCTGCCAGCCCACCCCTGCCACACGGCAGGCAGGCAGAGCCCGGTCTGGCCACACTCACCATCTCCCACTCTGCACAGATGTAGGGTCCGGGCCTCAGGATGACCAGCAGCCCCAGCTCATGCGCCAGCTGAATAAAATGTTCCACATCACGGTCGTCAGAAAACTGGTACTGTCCTGGCTGGGGCTCATGAAAGTTCCAGGGCACATATCTGCCAAGACACACACAGCCTCTTCCTGGACACAGCTCAACAATCCAGATGTCCTACGTGAGTTTCTGAACTGGGTGCGGAGCTGCACACCTGAGGACGCAGGACCCCTCCCTCAGGCCGCCTCTTGGGAAACAGGCCTCGTTTTGAGTTTTCACAGCAGCTACCCACAAGAATCAAACTGGGGGGGGGGCATTTTCAAGTTTATGACCCACAAAGAATGTCCATTCCTGTTTACTGCTTGACTTGAAAAAAGATGCAAAATTACATGAACACAAAGTATTACTATGTAAAAATCATATATGCCTGTGTAAAGCTTAGGAAAAATGGAAATGTCTGTGCTAAAGCAATGAGGTATAGAGTCAGCGCCACTTAGCGACGGGGATTCATTCTGAGAAATGTGTCCTCGTTCGGGGATTTTGTCGTTGTGCGAACATCGTAGGGTGCGCTCATAAACCTGAATGGTCCGCTTATTGCTCCTAGGCTACAAGCTTGCACAGTAACACAAGTAATTAAATCACACACAAGAGACAATGATGCCAGGGTAATTCAGCATACTGTTTTACAGAAAACTCTTTTTTTTTTTTAATCTAATTTTTTAAAAATATGTTTTTTTTAAAATTGATTTTAGAGAGAGAGGAAGGAAGAGGGAGAGAGAGATAGAAACATCGATGAGAGAGAAGATTGACTGGCTGCCTCCTGCATGCCCTGCCCCTGAGGATTTGGCCCACAACCTGGGCATGTGCCCTGATCAGGAATTGAACCGGCGACCTCTTGGTGCATGGATTGATGCTCAACCACTGAGCCACACTGGCCGGGCGCAAACTCTTTTTTAAAATAAATAGAAATAGTATGCTCTAAAATAACAATAAGAGGTATAGTATAGTCAATACATTAATCAGTAACATGGTCACTTGTTATCATTATATACTGTCATAATTGTACATGCTGTACTTCTAACTGACAGCACACGAGGTGTCTTCACACCAGCATCTCCACAAATACATGAGGAATGTGTTGCACGACGATGTTATCATAGATCACTAGGTGACAGAAAATTTCGAGTTCCAAAATAAGCTGATGATCAAAATAGACCCAGAGACATGGGAGCAGGGACCAGACTGACAAACCTCAGAGGGAAGGGGAATGGAGGAGGTGGGAAGAGATGAACCAAAGAACTTCTATGCATATGTGCACAACCGATGGACACAGACAACAGTGTGGGGAAGGAGGAGGGGGACAATGGGGGGAAAAGGGGAAACATCTGTAATACTTTCAACAATAAAGATTTAAAAAATTAAATAAATAAATGGAAAACAAGAAAGAAAGAAAATGAAAGAAAAGTTCCATTATATCTTATGGGATCACTATGATATATGTGGTTTGTCATTCACTGAAATGTCATCATGCATGACTGTACTTATTTTTTGAAAAGTACTTTTTAATAAAAATGGAAAAAGCTTTAACTCTGTGTCCTCCTGACAAAAGACTTTGGCAGGAAACCCACGCAGGAGGTAAAATGACAAAGGTCCCTACCAGCTTCCCCGACTACCTGCAGCCTGGACTATAAATTTAAATACAAAGCCACCCCCTGCCATCACAATGAGCTTGGCTGCGTCCTTTTTCCATGATCCTATGGTTTCAGGGTTCTCTTGAACACAGAGTTAAAACTACAGAGAGACCCCAGTGGCCTTAGAACCAGAATAACAAGTGGGGTTCCCCCTAAATTATCTGTCCCATGAATCTGCCCCTGGGTTTTTCTCACCTTTTAGTTTCGCAAAGTTATCAGCAATTCACATCAGCAGTATAGAAACCTGAGTAGCCAGTCACCCCAATTCTTCCCAGTTAGTCACCTTGCAACAGCACAAGAGAAGAGGACACATAGCTATTGGGGTCCCTCTATATAACCCCAGGCTATAGAATGAACCCAGAAGAACCGCACAGACAGACTGGGTTTCAGGAATCTACCTAACAAGGAGTATTCCCCTAAGAGCTGAGAGAAGCTATCAGTGCTCACAAAGACTTTTCACATCCTAGCTGTCCAAAAATATGTGCTTGGGCAAATTTCAATGTTGCCAGCTGTAAACAGGAAGGGTGATACTTTGAAGGAACGGAATCGTTCATGTCAAGTGCCCTGCACATGGCGAACGCTCAATCACTGTTACTTTTCTTTGTCTTTTGTTTTTTTTTTATCCTCACTTGAACACATTTTTGCATTTATCTTCAGATAGAGCAGGAGGCATAAAGGGAGGAAGAGAGAGAGAGAAACATCGATGAGAGAGAGAGAAACATCGATGAGAGAGAGAGAAACATCGATGTGAGAGAGACACCTGTGGCTGCCACCCACACGACTCCAACCAGGCTGGGGACAAACCATAACCAAGGTACGTGCCCTTAGTGAGAACTGAATCCAGGACTCTGGTCTGCGGGCTCATGCTCTAACCACTGAGCTAAACTGGCCAGGGCTCCCTTTGCCTTTTTTTTTTTCCTCAAATTTTTTTTTCTTTATTGATTCGAGAGAGAGAGGAAGGAAGACAGAAACATGGATGAGAGAGAACATCGACTGGTCGCCTCCTGCATAACCCCCAGTGAGGATCGGGCCCACAACCTGGGCATGTGCCCTGACCAGGAATCGAACTGGCGACCTCTTGCTGCGTGGCTCCATGCTCAATCACTGAGCCACACTGGCTGGGCTCCCTTTGCCTTTTAAAGCTGACATTCATTTTATGATTGCTGGTGATGAAGCTCAAGATTGGAAGAGGCGATGAATGATCTGAAGAAGGGCCAATCAAGATCATGCCAAGCCCCTCCCACACCACCACCCTGAGCCATGAAATAGCTGCACTGAGAGATGCAGCCGCGCCCTCTCTCCAGCGTGGGGGTCCCAGCCCAGGCGAGAGCCCGGGGCCCTCCGACTTACACCTGGATGGCGTTCAGCCCGGCCATCCTCATCTTCAGCAGCCGGTCCTGCCAGTAGAAGCGGGGCACGCGGAAGTAGTGAATGCTGCCCGAGATGTAGCGGAACGGCTGGCCATCCTTGAGGAAGCAGTTGCGGCTGTAGTCGATCTTGAAGGTCTTCTGGGAGGCATTCTGCAGAGCAAGGACCAGACCACGTGAGAACCTGCCCCTTCAGCACTTCTGAAGCAGACCCGACGGCGGCGAGTGACTCCCTGCCTCTTTAATGTGCAGCATGTGCCTGCTGATGGAGTTAATGTTTGGTTTCTAGGCTACAAAACAAACCACAGCTAAGCCACAGTCACTGTAGGCACCCCGGTGACAGACATCACCGAGGAGGACCCACAGGGCTTACCTTCCAGAGTCCAGCACCGATCTGACCATCAGTGGCTGAGACGCAGGAGTTATAGCCCCCCAAGAGAAAACCCTGCTGGAGGTGACTCGCCTCTTCATGTAGCAAAGCCCAGAGTGCCGGGAATACGACGCACACACGAGCATACCTCTCTCCTTGTGGCTGTGACCTGCCAGAGCGCTGGAGGTACCTCAGCAGTAATGTCAGTGGGCTGAAAGCAACAGATCAGAAGTCCAAGGCCCTGGAGCCTCATTCGAGGTGTTGCTCTAAGTCCCACAGTGACCCAGGCAAGTCCATCTCTACTGCGTCTCTTCAGCCATAAATATGCAGCATGTCCGACTAAGTGAACTCTAAAGCAGTCGTTTTCACGTGGTGGGCTGCAACCCAATTTGTGAGTCATGAACTCAATTTAGGTGATGATGGGCACCTTTTACTAACGAAAGAGACTAGGAAATAAGAGTGTATTGCACGTAGTCAAGGCAAGTATTATGCTATGAAACTTCTGTTATATAGACATATATAGAATTGCATATGCATGTATGTCTCTACAGGGTTGCAATGTAAGATGTACTTCTAGCAGTCAAAACGAATTTCGAGAAACACTGGGCGTGACTTCAGAAGCTAACTATGCTAAGATTTGAAAGGGAAGGCCTCAAAGGGGAGGCCAACAGATAGCAGAGGGAAATACTGCCCCCTGGTGGATGAAAAAGGCAGCAACAGGCCACAGTTGCCAACAGGACCAGGGCTACAAGAAACCATTTCACCGTTGGTAAGATTCCTTGTGTATTTTTAGGCTTTCAAAGGTCACAATATAAACTTTAAAAAAAATCTCTTTTCACAGCAGCATCACAGTCAGTGAGAGCTTTCGGGAGGTGCCTTGACGTCATATCTGAAGCAACAAACTGTGGTATATTCATATGATTAAATACTACTACTCAGCAATAAAAAAAGGACTACTGGTATTTGCAATAACATGGGTAAATCTCAAAAATGTTAGGCTGCCCTGGCCGGTTTGGCTCAGCGGTTACAGCGTCGGCCTGCGGTCCAGAGAGACCTGGGTTCGGTTCCCGCTAAGGGCGCGTACCTTGGTTGCAGTTTGTCCCCGGCCCTGGTTGGGTCGCGAGGGTGGCAACCACTCGAAGTGTCCCTTTCATGTCGATGTTTCTCTCTTTCTCTCTAACTCCCACTCTATCTGAACAAAATATCAAAAAATGTCCTCAGGTGGGGATTAAAAAAAAAATGTTATGCTGAGTGAAAAAAAGTCTTGCCCACAGGGGTTCAGACTGTGTGAACCCATTTATATAAAGTTCTAGTCTATGGTGGAAAAACGGCAGAATAGTTGTTGCCTTTGGGAGAGTGGAAGCAGGTGTTGCTTGGGAAGGAACACGAGGGACCTTCCTGAGGCCACGGTCACATTCTCTACCTGCACAAGGGTTCTGCATTACCAGGTGTATGCATTGTCAGAGCTCATCGAGTGGTGCAAGGAGGACTGTGCGTTTCCCTGTATGTAAAGTTTACCTTCAAAGAAAAAAAGAGCCCGGCCAGTGTGGCTCAGTGGACTGAGCATCGGCCCATGGACTGAGAGGTCCTGCTCAGGGTGGGGTGTCGATCCCCAGTGGGGGCCGTGCGGGAGGCAGCCGATCAATGTGTCTCTCACATCGATGTTTCTCTCTCTCCCTTCCTCTGTCTCTAGAAAGTCAATTAAAAACATATTTTTTTAAAAAGGTGGGGCGGGGGGAGAAAGCTATAAACAGATACCGACCTCTAGTTAATGACATACATGCTGAAGTGTGTGTGTGGGGGAGGGGAGAATGCACTGATGTCTGTAACTTACTTTGAAATGCATTAAAAAATAAGATGGATTGGTGGATAGATGGAAGGATGGGTGGACAGTAATATGCTCATATTCGAATATGGATGGTGGGTACACAATTCTTTCAAGTCTCTGTATACCTGAAATTTTTCCTAGTAAAATGCTGATAACAAATAAGTGGACTGATGAGTAAATCACGGTTTCTATAGTGTGTGTATTAAACATGCATGCGTGCACACACATATGTATGAGAAACATTATATGCTCCCAAGAGTAATGAAGTACTCTCCTCTTGCCACTGCGGGAAACTCTGCAGTACAGAGGATGAGGAAAGGAAGGAGGGCTCTTTCCACATGCCTGTGTCAGCCGCCGCTCCACGGACAGCCCGGCGTGAGCGCGGTACCTCGCGCGGAGTGTCTCCACCCAGACTCGCACCCCCGGCTTTGCGTCTTCCCGCCAGGAGCCCAGGGACACTGGGAGTCTGTGCTCCCGGGGGTGACGCTCAAGCAAGGGGGGTGAACAACGGCATTCTCCTCCTTTGGCAGACGGCCCTGGACACGTCTGCATACTTTCCAGGAGGTATCAGCAGAATCGTGGCCGCCGCCCAGAGGGAGAACCACAACACACATCCTCAGACAGGCTTTTGCTTCTTTCCACCTGTCCGTCGCGTCTGCACTCTTGAATCACTCCTCAGACCACCTGCACCCAGGCCCACTCCATGTGATGCTTCCCGAGGAGCACAGGTAAAGAAAACTGGTACCAGGCTTGGTCTCCACAGCAGATGATCAGGATGTGAGTCTGCACCCGGATTTCTCACAGATGTCAAATGGCAACAAGAACCCTGTGGCTGGTGCTAAGTGGGTGGGGACACCCCATGGTATGCGATGCAAATACTAGGGCCCTCACCTGTGCTGGCGGAAGGGGAGGGGTGGCATCTGCATTAGCTCTACCCCTGGAATGGGGTGTGCGACTGGTCACTGTAAGGACTGAGGTTGCCTGGCTTTGGAACAGACTTGTGAGCTTTGAAGAATGAGACTCGCTGACAGGCTCATGCAGCCGCCACTCGGAGCATTCTGTGAATGCCAGAGGCTTCCGTGGCAATGACCAGAGACCTACGTCTCCTTCCAGAAAGTGAGGCTCGGGACTTAATCACGGGGAACACGGGGAGTGCATCTTGAGGGCTCACGCTACAAGACCAGGCAGAGAGTCTGCGGACATGGCGCACTCTCCCGTGACCTGTGGGTCAGCATCGTGGGAAAGCACCTGAACCTGGACGTGATACAGGCCCACAGGAAATGAGCTGGACCTGCCAGGACTGCGTTGGCACCCTGAGGAAGGTGGGAGATGGCTCACCGAGGTGGGAATGTAAACGTGGTGACCTGACAACCCGCCCCTCGGCGGTCTTCCCCGGGACACTCCCAGCAGTGAGGAAGGCCCCAGGGAGGAGTTGGCATCCCTGAGCAGCCCAAGGAGGGTGTGGTACTCTGTAGGGAAGGGTGACAGAAGATGCTGCCTGGCCCTGGGCCCCCGGCATCCCTGGGGAGGATGAGATTCTGACAATCACAGAGGGACCATTTGACCATCGGGAGAAGTGACTACAATGACCATAGCGACCAGCAAGGCCAGAGTGGCAGCCAGGGTGGGCTGGCCAGTAGCAGTCTCAAGCCATGGCTCATACACCGTAGCATTCCTAGAGGGTGAGACGGTTGGGCAACCAGCGAGGGTGTTGCTTGGCATGTCTAACAAGAAGAAAACAAATCGAGAACTCAGGAGAAAAAGGCTGATGTCCGTCCTGCAATGGGAAATCGATTCTGTCCGCCGGCGGGCAGCTCTCAGGCCGCTCTGACAAGCAGCCAAGTGAGTGAAGAGAAGGTTGGAGGGATCCCCTTCAGGGAGGGCCCTGCGAGGCCACCCCGGTACTGTGCACGCCATCACCCCCCAGTGGGACTGAGGGTACCTGTGTCCTAAGGAAAGTGGCACCCCCAGACCTTCTGTGGAGGGTGAGGTGTGGTCTGAGCTGACACTGATACCAGGGGCCCGAAATGCTAGCTGGGCAGGGGAAAGAGGGCGTCTCGGCCCAGGTCCTTCCCCCGGTGGGTCCAACAAGTCAGAGGACCCACCTAATGGTTATTTCACTGGTCCTGGGTGCAAGTTGGGATGGTTTTCCCCAACAACCCCCAGAACCCTCACCCTGAGTAAGAGTCATGATGGAGGAAAGGGGTCCTGGACCTGGGCCCCAGCTCCACTCAAGACCACGATTCCTCCCGGATCGGCAGACCTAGTGCCCTCTCCACACAGACTCCCAAGACATCCCCATTCCATTCAAATGACCCGTGAGTCCCAGTGAAAAACAGGTCATGGTGGATGGTGGTGGCCACCTACTTACTGAAACAAGCAGCTACTCTGTGGGTGTAGGCAGGATTACAGGACGGATCAGCACAGCCTTTGGCGTTTGGTTTCTGGCTCATGTCCTAATCTTTTCAAAACGACCCATGAAAAGGAGCCAAAGCAGCTTGTTTGTAAGTGGGCGAGACGGCAGTACCCGCTCTCTCCGGCCCCACGCCCCTACTAACTGCCCGTGAGAGACCTTGACAGCGAGGACACTCCCCGGGCTGTCCCTCTGGTCTGACACATAAACGACACGGTGCTGTTCGGACCCGGGGAGCAGTGACAAGTCTCTGGAACTACAGCTTTGAAAAGCAGCCCAGAGAGGACCCACATGGATGGCCACAGAAGCCACATAACCTAAGAGCTTCCATTTGGTGACCGTCATGGTCATGGCTAACAGGGAACACCCACTTCAGGGCTCAGGTGACCCCTCCCAACATTTACGGGCAGGAGAGGATCCAGCTTCAAGGAGCCAGTTTCCTTGGTATCTCTGCGCCGTGGCACCACCAACACAGGAGATCGAGAAGTGTGAGGGCGGAGGGAGGAGGAAAGGTCGCCTTCGGAGTTTATTTCCCATAAATG